ACTGACTTGACTAAGGCAGAGAAGGTAACTAGTTAAACACAGCCAAGACTATAATCTAAATCTCAGAGCTTCTTCCACTAGCCAACCCACCTTCTACCTCTTTGATTGTGCCTTCTACCATGATGTTATTGTTTCCAAATGTGCCTGAGAAATAGAATACCTAGAGATGGTTTTCAACTGCCTTCTCCCAGAAGATTACATTAATTCCTTTCATGACACAGAAGAAATTCTAGGGGCTGAAATTATGGTAAGGAACATATGAGGATCAATAGCCATATATGTGAGTTCCTCAGTTGGAAAAGGTAGACTAACCCAAGGGTCACTGGGCATTTGCTCAATTTCCTACAAAACTAACTCACTAGAAATTGGATAGAGAAAGGAAAAACATAGGAAAAACATTCCACCTCATGATGTCATGGGAGTGGAAATAAAAAAGGGCAATGGATATTTGTGAAAGGTGTTACACAGGCAGAACTGAAAAGACTTGTAAATTGCCTGGAAATCCACAAGTTCCCCACCATGCAAGGAACAGCTTCTATCAAGATGGGGCATGTCATCTCCACCAAATGCCAACCAACTGACACCTCCAAGGCAAGCAAGCCAGCATAGCAAATGCAGCAAGACACCTGAAGGGAGACATACAAGGTGGGATGTGCCAGGGGAATCAAGCCACCACCAGCACTTCCACCACAACCTCCCATGAGACTGATTCACATAAAGATAGCCCAGGACCCTGAACCCATGATCCCTAGCAGTATCACTGTCCCCTAGAACACTGGTCCTGCTTTAGCCCAGTTCCTGAAGCAAGAAGTCACAGAAGCGATCACTGTGGAGGAAGGGGCCCCCTTCCCCACCCCACCAACAGCTGACCAACTGCCACTGATGGACCAGTAAGCCCAAGAACCCAGAGAGTGGGAACACTCCCTACACCAACCAGTCCTACTGCCAAGCCCAGCCACTGAAGCCATCATCCCAGAAACCAACCCAGGAAGGGGATGGGACCTGTCACCTACTTCTCCAGGTCCTAAAGCCTTCACCTCCTCAGTAATCACACTTACTTAAGAACCAGGAAAAAAGTTCTTCCCACCAAAAGTCTTCACACTGTCAAATGGCTCAACATTATAAATGGAGATAAGTGTATTCATCAGTGAAAAGAGCATTACAAAGGACATGTTACTATATGCTTTGCCACTCAACCCATGGACCCTTTATGAGTCATCAAGCCAACAATTCATTAACAGCTGAAATTGCTTATGTTGTCTCTCTCCCACTAGAATGTGAGCTCCTTGAAAGGAGAGGTTAGGTGCCTTTCTTTCTATTTGTATCCTCAGCACTTAGCAAAGCTCTGCACACAGTAAGCTCTTAATCAAGAGCTTATTCTTTTGGCCAAAGCTTTGATTTCCTCACAACATCTGACATGGTCTTTCAAGGACACAATCTCAAAGGTTGGTCTGGCCTCATTTTCTTTGTCATTGTCCAGCTGGGATTTCATCTCTTGCAATAAGGATTTTTTTGTGATGAGCCTGTTTTGAACATTGCTTAGCTCTCTAAGAAAAGAAAATATAAAGGCGGTATTTTCCTTCATACCAAAAAAACTTTAAGTAGCCTGTAATTTTAACTTTTAGAAAATCATGACCAGAGAGTGGATATTTAGTTCATAAACTAAAAGGAAACCACCCTGCATAAAAAGTTAACCATTACTACTGTTGATCACATTCCTTCTCTTTCTCCACCTCCTTCTTCATAAAGGAGAGGAGAGAGGACAAATTATAAGAGTGTATGATGGAAGTTGCACATACAGTTGACAATCATAACCATAAATAGAATGAACTCATGTATGAAATGTGGTGGGGGTAGCATAAAGATTTAAAAATCAGCCTCTAATATTATGTTGTATTCAAAAATATGTACCTTAAAATACAGATTCACATGGATTTAAAATGATGGGCTCAAGCTATGCATTTAAAAGCATTATGCTGAGGAGCCAGCCTACCAAAGGGAGCCATGGCACAAAAAAAAAAAAAAGAAAAAAGAAAAAAAAAGATTAAGAAGAACTGCTATAAACTTTCTTGTCCCTTTCTCCCTAATTTGCCTTGGCCCCGGAAAAGGTGTAAAACGTTAGGAACTATGCTCCTGCCCTGGTCCTGGTGCTGGCCCTGGAGTCTATCAAGTTGCTGAAATAGGCAGAGCCTCTCCAACTTGACCCTCCTATGCCTCTGTGTTTGCCCCAAGGATTTATATCCGAACATTTTCATGTTTCCTTCATGTGGTGAAAAATACAGCAGCGCTGGTATTTTGGACAAACACTTCCCCTGTCATTTACTGTACATGAAAATAACTTGGACTTGCAGAAACACTTTTACAAGAAACCAATAAATCAGTCAAAATAGAAACATAATGCATTGTTTTAAACTGTATGTAAAATCGCCCAAATCTGTGTTCTATATGATGGCCTCTAGTTCTGAAAATACCACTCAGAAGTCCAAGTATTAATACAGTGAATAAAATGATGCTAATAGGAATACAAATGGGACTAATAGGAAAAACATTAGATTTATATACTTTATACCTAAGGCATCTCAAAATATACACATCATTTATTTTAACCATGGGTTTCTCCATTAAAAGTTGTCATTTTCCAACCTCTGACTGCTCACTACTATTTAATTAAATATCACTTCAGGCAGTCTTCTTTATATAAACAGTATGAAATTAAGGCTAAAACACTGTTAGAGTTAGAAGGGCTTCAGTTTCCACAGGTAGAATAATGCAGAGATTTAAAGAATAACAGCTCCAGGAAGTAGTACACTGTAGGTGGGCTCGGGCTTAGCCAATAAAAAGTAAGTTGAAGGTTCTATAAAGGCCCCAAAATCAAGATAAGTGTCAAGCCAGCTCAGACCAGTTAGGGTCAACCTGAGGACACCTGAAAAATGTTAGTGCGCCTGCTTCATGAGCTTCATTACTATTATCTGACACACCCTGCATAAAATTAGAGCCTCAGTAATGAGTCTTGGGACGTATGACCAAGGGAGGGGGAACATACTTGAGCCTATCAAGGGGAAACATGTAAGGAAAGGTGCAACTTGGGAAGGGATGGACCAATCCCGGCCTGGGAGGTTTCCCGCTGAATTCAACTGCATAAAAGCACACTTGCCCTTGCACTCAGGGCCCACCCCTCCTGAAGAGGGGTGGAGCCGGCTTTTGGCCAGAAACATCTAAATCCTCTGGACTTTCTTTATGATAAATTTTCTTGATACTAAATTTTTGGTGTCAAGCCTATTTCTAACAACACCAGGACTGCACTGGAATTGTGGAAATCAGGAAACAACAAAAGGAATAATATTTTTACTCAGGAAAGCTAACAATTTAAACAGAAGCAACTTACTTTAATGAGTAATGAAAAATTCATGTCCTAACAGAAATTTTCAATTAACAATATCATTAATGCTAGGTGCCATTTCCCTATAATGTCATTACTAGCTTAAACATTTTACCAAAGTTCATAACATTAAACACCAATGGCTTAAACATTTTCTCAAGATTCATAATATTAAAGCCTAAAATGTCACATTCAACAACAAAAGTAAGCCTTTTCTCTTATGGACAGCGGCTGCAGAAAATACGAGCCCAGGATACGTGAAATAAAGCTCTGAAGGGGACACATTTCTTCTAACTCAAACTACCTTTGACCCTAAAGGCTTGTTCTGTTTACAACACTTGTTAGTGGACTAAATTGAGAACTTTCCCCTTCCTTTTTTCCATCAACTAGAATCTAAAACAACACAAATTATTTTTCAGAAAAAGGTAGGCTAATGACCACAGCTATTAGTTTCTTTATAACCAAAGTATACTTATAAGATAGAATATTTTTAAGTGCTTATTATGTGCCAGGCACTGTGCTGAGCTCTGATAAGGAAATAAGACTATCCCAAATCAAAGAATGAGTTCAAGAAACATGCAGTTAAACCTTTGTGATTAACTCAAGCACTGCCTTCACTGCTCCTATTCCCATCTCATATATACAGAGTGAAAACAGACATTGAAAGATGGTTAACAAAAGTAATAATTGCTCTAAAACAAATCTTGTCAGGTTGCTAAATGAGACTCTAAGATACACATTTCCATCTAATCTACTTATCTACATGAATACAGATAGACACATAGATAGATATACATAAAACCAAGTGATTACACTACTCAGCAAGGTAAATAAAGCTTCTTTTTAAAAAGTACATCACTTGGCTATTCTGAGCTATGATTTCCTCCTCTCAAGAAAAGGGTCAACTAGAAACCTCATTTTCATTTTCCACAAAATACAAGATTGATTCACTTGAATTAAATCCTCCTATCCATTTCACTCTGCCAGTAAGAAAGGGACCACTGATTGATAAATTTCAGATTTCTTCAAAAGCTTGTCTTCCTTCTCAACCAGTAAAACAACCAGGTCTTGCCCAAATCTCTCAGACTAAAGTCCATCTACCTTGCACAAGAAATGTCACTAAATTATTCAATTCAGCCACAACTGCCAGCTGACCAGCCATCCCACCACCAATCTCCCCATCCCCAGTGAAACAATTAAGTATTGCATTCTTTTTCTTTCTTTCTTAATCTTAAATCAAGTAGAGAATCTCTGAAGAAGATACTTCAAAAGGAAAAGCCAGAAGGGGATTTTTTCAAAGCATTTTCTTGGGCACAAGTCAACACAAATGTGTTCCTATCTCACAGATGGCACATACCGGTGGCAGAGATTAACTTTTCCTGTACCATAAATGAAAAGGTTGAGCAATAGCATGAAAGCAGCAGTTATTCGTTTCCAAAACGTTTTTTGTTGTTGCCCTCTAGATTCTAGTGGCGCTCCCACTCCTGAATTTTAAAAATTAATCCAAGCAATGAGATACTGAATCAACTATTGCACCCACCTGGCCAGGAAACTCCGTTCCTTCAGAACAATCTAGCCAGGCATGCACGGAGTTCTCTTACAAGAATGCCCGATGTCCAGGAATCCCAGTCTCGCCAAAGCTGGCTCTCAATCTCAGGAGGGCTCCCCCGCAGCTACCAAGACTGTAGGAAGCGTCCACTCCTCCAAGCACAAGCAGCTTTTACCGGGCAGCAAGACGCCAAGTCAGCAGTCCAAGTCTATTACACCTACAGCCGACCCTCTTGCTGCCTGTCTTCCAGGGTAGGAAGGCCGAGTTCCTTCCTCCTCCTTCCTGCCAGGACAAGTTTCAAAAGCAACTCGTTTTCAGCAAGGGCAGCTTTCGTTTTCTCGAGCATTAAGGGGATAAAAAAAAAGTCAAGAAAGCCTGAGAAAAACGAGATCACAGATGATTCACCTGCTGTCGGTCATCGTCCCCTCTCCCTCACCCTTCCCACTTTCCCTGAGCAGATAATCTCAAGGGGAATTGACGCGGATGCTCCCAAACCACCAAGCTCACCGTTTCTCCCCTGGAACACGTCGCTTCCTTCTCCAGCTAGGACGAAACTCTGCAGAGCCGGCATCATCCTTTGGGGGACCCGAGGACAGCTCAGCTGCTCCCTAACCCCCTACAATAATGTCAGGGGGACCTAACAGCTGTAGTCTTACTAGGGTCCGCCTAAGACTATTGGACGTGGTTAGGGGAGCAGCTGAGATTTGTGAAACACACCTGTGCCATGAATCCGTGCAGATTTCTGGCTCCTGGAGCTATGAGCATTTTCCAAGGGCCCAGTTCCCTGCAATAAAAACCAAGCCGTATGGTGCTTGTGAAGGCACAACACACAGCTGAGGGGCTGAGGCTAAACCCAGCTCCCAGGCACCTGGAGCACAGGTTTGGAAAGGGGCAGGAGAGCACGTTTCTTGTTCCACGGATCAGTTACAGGGGCTCCAAGAGCAGGCCCGCCGTTCCAGACTGAAGCTGGATGTGGCAGTAATACAGCTGATCTTACTTTTGCTCTCTCTGGGTGGGAGTTGAGACCACTGAAAGCTGCCCCATTCCCAATAGCTTCCCGGGAACTCCCTTCCCAGCCCCAGGACTCTCCAGTGTGGGCGTTGTGGGCGTTGCTGCCCCCTTGTGGCATTTTAGATCCCTTCCTCCCCCATGGCCCACGAAACATAAAATTTGTTCATTGGATGGGAGTGGGGGAGAAGGTAGGTGCCAAAGACAGTGTTTCCGATCCAGCTAAGCAAATCTGCTTAGGGCATGGGGTTAAAACACTTGACTCCATTAATCATATCATGCTAGAAGAGACCTTGAGGTTATGCAGTTCAACAGCTGTATGTTTACAGACAAAGAAACTGAGGCCCAGAGAGGTTAGGTGACTTGTCCAAGGTGACACAAGGAATAGAGCTAAGAATCAAATTCAGACTTCTTTTCCAGAGCTGAAGTTCTTTCAGGGGCAGCTAGCTGCTAGCTAGGAATGCTGGGCCCGCAGTCAGACAGACTCATTCCTGAGTTCAAATCTGGCTTCAGACATTTCCTAGCTGTGTGACCCTGGGCAAGTCCCTTAATGCTGTTTACCTCAGTTTCCTTATCTGTAAAATGATCTGGAGAAGGAAATGGCAAACGACTCCAATATCTTTGCCAAGAAAAGATCAAAATGGAGTCGCAGAGAGTCTGAAACAACTGAACGATAACTTATGCTTTGAGAGTCTCAGTTTCCTTATCTATAAAATGGGAATAATTCTTATACTATCCACCTTGCAGGGTTATTATGAAGAAAGCCTTTTGCAAAACTTAAGCAATCTATAAATATAATTTTTTCTGAGAGGTGATCAGTGTGTTGAAGACAGCTTATACTGACTGTAAAATTTTCAGCATATACACCTTGGAAATCAGCAAATGCTACAAATTGGCTTGATTTGTCCTTTTGTTGGTTGTCTAGACTTAGGAAACTGATGAAGAAAATGTTAATAATGCAAATTAAACTTAGAAGTGTATTCTGTGCATTATTTTTGTTTGTTCCTTTTTGGAGAGCCAATTGTTAAAGATTTACCAGCACACTCAGAGCACTCTTGCTCAGGACTATATATTCTAGATTAAAGGGGACATAGACCTGAGGCAGGGAGAAATAGAAGATAATGAGGATCTGAATTAAGGTGATGGGACTGGAAGTAGACATGATGGGGCTGGGATCTGAACCACTAAAAGGAAAAGACCATTTTGGGGGGATCTAGACCCCAAAAAAGAAAAGCCCTGGACTTTTCCCAAATCTCTGCCGTTTGCCTGAGGCTATAATCCACTCAACTGGCCTTTCCTGGTGGCTACACCCAATCTCCCAATTCTGTCCTGTTACCTCTGCTTGCCCCAGCCACTTCTCACCCTGATCTTATCTAGATTCCATTCTTGCTTGGCCAGGTGGCCCAGGTTCCTGGCTCTTTGTTAACCTAATTAAGCCTAGCCTTCCATTATCTTTTATTGGCTGATAGCCCTGGAGGGGGGGAGGTTATACTTCCCATCCTTGATTTTATCTAGACCCCATTTAACCTCCCAGACACTCCCATCAGGATTCTCCCAGGACCCTCTCTCAGTCATCCCAGCTTACTGGCCACTTCCATCAAGACACCCCTTCTCCCAGGCCCACCCCACCATCCCAAACTACTTGGTCTCTCCTATATCCCTCCCATAGTTTTTCTATATATAAGATCCATCCTGGCTGCCATTTAGCAGCTGAGATTTCCTCATGCCTGAATCTACTATATGGCTCATCTGTAATAAACCTTATCTTTGGCTGAAAGAAGGCTTGGGTCAAATTCTTTCAGGTAGTACCAGCGTGTCATGATGTTGGGGTCCCAGCACCCCTAAACCTCTAGACCTCAACAGGGGACAGTGGACAGGGCACATCCTAGGCAGCAGATGGCTCTCAAATTTGTCTAAACATAAGGCTGGGCTGTCAACAACCCACCTACCCCTTTCTAACTGCCTTTTCACTTGTGGCTCCCCATGATACATATGAGCACAGGTATGATATGAGCACAGATTTGAATAGAGAATGGGCTGGGAGTGCTGCTGCCTGATCTATTCTCTCCTAAGAAGCAGGGTCATATGGGAGGAAGAGTGCTGGCCTCATCAGAAGACCTGGGTTCAATTTGTTGGTCTGCTAACTCATTAGCTGTGTGAGAGATGAACTCTCAGAAGTGAAGCCTCCTCAAAGGTCAATAATTCTTGATCATTACTTTCAAAATCCTCCCAGCTGCCCCAGACCCTGGTTTTAAGCACATAACAGAAAGATTAAGCTCTGCCCCCAACCTGAACTGTTTGCCCTTAGCTTTCTGCCTTTCTCTTGTCTCTGGGATAAGGAGAAGGGGATAGGAAGAAACTATTTTGACCTAGAATGTAATCCCACCTCCCAGTCAAGGGGAATAAGGGATAGTGGTGGGTGGGGATTTGTTGTTAGGGTATATAATCCCGTTTCCTTTTGCTTGCTGTCATGCTCTCTCTCCTACTTGCACCAGGGGGAGATATTGTAATAAAGGTAACCTTTGCTTTCCACCTTGAGAAATCTGAGTTTAATTTGGGTTAGGGTCGCTGTCCCACACAGCTGTGAGACCTTAATGTCTCCAGGTCTCAATTTTCTTATCTGTAAATGGAAGTAATGCCTGCCTTGCTCTACCCCATAGAGCCTTGAGGAGTTAATGCATTTAGTAAATATAGCATCTAGTAGTATATGAATCACTTTGTAATACATCATGTTTTTTAAAAATATTAGCTATTATGAACAAAATGAGTAAATAAAAGTATGATGGAAAAAGAACTAGATTTGAAGTCAGAAAATTGGATTCACATTCCAGCTGGGTGATCTTGGGCAAGTCATTGGTCCTCTGTAGGCCTCAGATTCCTTACATAAAACGAGAGAGTGTTAAGCTAAATGGTCTCGAAGATCCCTTCCAGATTTAAGTTCTATGAAGTATCTCCCTAGAAATATCTTTGATGGTAGAAAAGAAGATGGGGAGCAAAAACAATCCTATCCTATAATCACAACTTTGCCATTTTGCCCAAGGCCAACACTATGTATAGCAGTTCTTCACTAGCCAAGAGAATCAGGTGCCACCGTATTTTTTTTTTATCATACTATGTTTTGGAAATGCTTGTTTTATACCATAAATTAAAAATAAAATAAAAAAAATTTAAAAACCACAGGAACTCAAAGCTATTAAGAAAAAAAAAGGAGCTTTGTAGGCTGGTATAGGAGTCAGATCAACCTGTAAATAAAATTGTCACAGGGAGAGGCCCTGCCCAGCCTTGTAAATAAGTCTTAAAAAGTTTTAAGCCAAGAGGACCAATCCTCTAGGGCTGCCAAAATTGCACTGGGCCTTGACTACAACTGTCATTTAGAAATGACAATAACCAAAGACAAAGTCACAGCTTGGCCTCTATACCCTCTCTTTCTGGCCTCTGCCTCCTCTTTGATTCTGGCTGCCACTCTAGGTGCCCTCTGCTCACCTGCTGCCTCCAGGCTGTCTCAAGCACCCCACTCAAACACTAAGTAAGTGCCTTGTTTAGATACGCCCTCCCCATGCTCCCAAACTATTCTCCCTTCCACCTGTGCCCTACTTGGAAATGGAACAGGAGGCCTAGATTGGCCATTTAGTAGCTATGTGACCCTGCATAATCCATCGGAACTTCTCTGAGGCTGTCTATATAATTGAGATAATATCTGCCCCACCTGCCTTCACAATTTGTAAATTGGACAGCAGGGAACACAAATGTTTTGTTTTTGCAAATCACTTCAACAAATGTTTATTGAATTCTGCTATGGAGAAAAGCCTTTGCCTACACCTGAGGGAGCTAGGAAGACTAATATCTAGGTGTAGGAGCTTAAGCCTACTAGGGAGAAATGAGATCTAAAAACTAAAAAGAGAAAAGTACGTAGTAGGGGATTGCTCAGTCTTAGGATTTTAGAAGAGGATAGGAGAGACAATACTTTAACCCAAAGACATGAGGTGTGACATGACATCTCAAGGTTGTTTTAAAATCTCTAGGAGTGTTCCACAACCTGTCACGTAGGTGAGATTTTATTTTTGGAGAGGGGGAAAAACAATAGGATCTTTCCTCCACATAAACACCTGAATATTCTGCCATGCCAGGATGGAAACCTTGTCAAAAATTAACATGGCCCCTTTCTAGCCATCTCCTTCACCTATGACCCCATCAAATCACTAAAAGAAAAGAATATAAGTCTCTTTTAGGAGAAGGAAGATTCACCTAGAGCTTCCTCTAAATTCCTTGAATCCATGGAGGAGGGATGGGAGAGAGGAGATCAATAATGAATGAATAGAATTTAAAAACTTAGGTTTGAGCTTCTGATCTTAACACCAACCAGCAAGGCGATCTAATTCTTTAACTACCCTATGCCTCTGTTTCTCTATCCTTAAAATGGAAATTGAAACTTTGCTTTACTTATTTCAGAAGGTTGGTACCTAGACCTTCAGGACTCTATGGGTATTCAAGGAGAACTAGCACCTCTGGTGTGAGGGCTTGGTGTGAGGGCCCTTTTCAGGGCTGCTCATCCACCTTTGGTGTCCACCTGACTCACCCAGCTCTCACCTGTGGCTTCAAGGAGCTGTGGCATACTATTAAAAACACTAGAGAGCACAGGAATAAATGGAGTTTTCCTTAAAATGCTAAGTAGCATCTATCTAAAACCATTGGCAAGCATTATATGTGATGGGGATAAGTCAGAAGCATTACCAATAAGATCAGGGGTGAAACAAGGATGCCCATTATCACTACTGTTATTCAATATTGTACTAGAAATGTTAGCTTTAGCAATAAGAGGAGAAAAAGAAATTGAAGGAATTAGAATAGGCATTGAAGAAATAAAGCTATCACCCTTTGCAGATGATATGATGGTATACTTAGAAAATCCTCAAGAATCAACTAAAAAACTACTTGAAATAATTAACAATTTTAGCAAAGTTGCAGCACATAAAATAAATTCACATAAATCATCAGCATTTCTATATATTTCTATATATAGCCCAGCAGCAAGAAATAGAAACAGAAATTCCATTTAAAGTAATTGTAAACAACACAAAATATTTGGGATTCTATTGCCAAGACAAACCCAGGAACTATACGACCACAATTAAAGTCACATCTAAATAATTGGAGAAAGACCAGTTGCTCATGGGTAGGCTGAACTAATATAATGAAAATGACAATTCTACCTAAACTAATTGACTTTTTCAGTGCCATACCAAACTATCAAAAATTATTTTATAGAGCTAGAAAATACAATAAAATAATAAATAAATAAATAAATACAAATTAAATTTTAAAAATTCATCTGAAAGAACAAAAGGTCCAGAATATAATGAGAAGAAATATGCTATAATATAAATATAAATAAATGAGAGAAATAATGAGAAGAAATGCAAGGGAATGTGGCCTAGCCATACTAGATCTAAAATTGTATTGTAACACTACAATCACCAAAATTACTTAGTACTGGCTAAGAAAAAGAATGGTAGATCAGTAGAACAGGTTAGAAACATGAGACACAGTAGGCAATGACCATAAATCTATTGTTTGATAAACTCAAAGACTCCAGCTTCTGGGATAAGAACTCATTATTGAACAAAAACCGTTGGGAAAACTGGAAAATAGCATGGCAGAAACTAGGCATAGACCAACATCTTACACCATATACCAAGATAAGGTCCAAATGGGCACATAATTTAGACATAAAGGGTGAAGCTATAAACAAATTAGGAGAGCAAGGAATAGTTTACCTGTCAGATCTACAGAGAAGGGAAGAATTTATGACCAAACAAGAGATAGACAACATTATGAAATGCAAAGTGGATAATTTTGCTTACATTGAAGTAAAAAGTTTTTGCACATATAAAGCTAATGCACCCAAGATTAGAAGGGAAGCAGAAATCTGGGAAACAATTTTTACAACCAGTGTCTCTGGCAAAGGCCTCATTTCTAAAATACATAGAGAACTGAGTGAAATTTACAAGAATACAAGTCATTCCCCAATTGATAAATGGTCAAAGGCAGTTTTCAAAGGAAGAGATTAAAGCTATCTATAATCATATGAAAAAATGCTCTAAATCAGTATCAATTAGAGAAATGCAAATCAAAATGACTCTGAGGTACCACATCACACCTATCAGATTGACTAACATGACAAAACAGGAAAATGGTCAGTGCTGGAGAAGATGTGGGAAAATTGGAACACTAATGCATTGTTGGTGGAGTTGTAAACTGATCCAACCATTCTGGAGAACAATTTAGAACTATGTCCAAAGAGCTATAAAACTGTGCATACCCTTTGACCCAGCAAAACTACTTCTACGTCTGTATCCCAAAGAGAGCATAAAAAGGGGAAAAGGACACAAATGTACAAAAATATTTATGGCAAGTCTTTTTGTGGTGGCAAGGAATTGGAAACTGGAAATTGGAATTGAAGAATTGGAAATTGGAAATTCACCATCAATTGAGGAATGACTGAACAAGCTGTCGTTATGAATGTAATGGAATACTATTGTTCCATAAGAAATGATAAGCAGGTGCACTTCAGAAAAACCTGGACTTACATGAACTGATGCCGAATGAAGTGAGCAGAACCAGGAGAACATGGTACACAGTAACAGCAACATTATGTGATGACCAACTTTTATAGACTTAGCTCTTCTCAGCGATACAAGTATCTAAGACAATTCCAAAAGACTCATGATGGAAAATGCTGTCTACATCCAGAGAAAGAACTGTGCAGTGTGAATGCAGACTGAAGCATAGTATTTTCTTTCTTTCTTTTAGTTTTTGGTTTTCCCTTTTGTTCTAATTCTTCTTTACAACATGACTAATGTGGAAATATGTTTAATATGGTTGTACATATATAGCCTATATCAGATTGCAGAGGGAGGGGGAGAAAATTTAGAACTCAGAATCTTATAGAAGTGAATGTTGAAAACTAAAAACAAACAATAAATAGAATTTACCAAAAAATACAGTAGTTTGCTCAAAAGAAGAAAAAGAAGATGCTGTGGCATGCACAGCGACCATACCCAGGTAAGCTTTGTGGGCAGATGGCTAAACCAGGCTGAGAGTAGCCAACAGGCCTCACGCCTGTCAGTGAGCTGGTAGGGATGTCTACCCAAAGCATGTGAAGACTTCCCTCGTGGAATGGGTAGATGAGAACAATTTGTTCTCATGGCCATGAAGGTGGCTAAAGCAGGCATTGTGGAGTACTTAGAGCTTGGTTAGACATCAAAGATGCCAAAGCCATCCATCACAGCCCATAGGGCTTTGCCAGTTGTCCCGATTTTTGTCTCACCACTGGCCTTTGATGACTCCGGAAGAGAGAGTGAGGCAACAACTTTATGCAGCTCTGCCTCACTTCAATCCAATTCACCCACAAGTCAAGATGTCACCCTGTGAAGTCACTGGTCCTCTTCAAAAGTGAAAGACAAACAACAATGACAACATAGACCTTCCACTTCCAAGGAGCAAAAAGTGACAGACGACAACTTTGGGGGTTACTGCTACCAGCGATTCTTACATTTAAATGGGGATGGAAACCCCATGCTCACAGGGAAGAAGTTCTGGTCCTAAAACTCTAAAGATGAGCTGGCTGCTCCAGCACCTGAGATGTACAAGCTACTAAGCCAAGTTGGTGGGCTGCTGTATAGTCCATCTATCAGTAAGGCCTGTCTGTGACCTGGTCTCGTCAGTCACCAGCAGGGTCAGTAGAGCTGGGGCAGCTCTCTGGCTGCTGTGGGTTTGAAGTTGTTTTTCTTTTTCTTTTGTTTTTTAATCCTCAAAATGTGTCCCACTCATGAGAACAGGCGTTTCTTTGTTTAAACCCTCCAAGAGCCATGAAATCTGTTTAATAAACTGTGAAAAACTCACCCCAGTAAACATTAAACAAGAGACAATGTGAGCACACAGCATTTTGACTTACCCTATTGCTCAAGGGAAAATGGTAATTCCTGCAGTGGTTTGGGCTCACCTTCCTTTGCTGTGGCCAAAACTGAGTAGGCATTAAACTCTTCCTAGGGCAGTTAATACCATCCTAAAAAGAGGAACCACATAGAGTGATGAGGACAATTAGTATAGACTTTAAACCTGGAAGAGAGCTTCCATATCAGCTAGTTCTGACCTCTTCACTTTACAGATGGAAAAACTGAGGCCCAAAGGGACTTAGTGACTTGGTTTAGGTCAGAAGACAATTGAGTAGCAGACCCAAGAGTCAAACCTAGGTCTTCTAGTTCCAGGACTAGTGATCTTTCCATTGAGAATTTGTAGAATGCTTTGAAAACTCAAGCCCCATGTATTTACTACTCACCATCATCATCACCATCTTCACCATTATTATAGGCCACCATGGCACAGAACCTTAATTAGCAATTCTTATACCTAGAACAAGCAATGCAAAAAACACCAAGGGCAAGGAGTTTAAAAGCACTCTCAAATCAACTTTCATGGTTTTTTTGGTGTTTTTGGCGAGGTAATCAGGGTTAAGTGACTTGCCCAGGGTCACATAGCTAGTGTCAAGTGTTAAGTATTTGAGGCTGGATTTGAACTCAGGTCCTCTTGACTCCAGGGCTGGTGCTCTATCCACTGCACCCCTAGTGGCCCCTCAAATCAACTTTCTTAAGACATGTTCAATTTAGGGGAAAGGGAGAAATCTCATTGTTTGGGACAAAAAGTACCACAAGCTACTGGGGAGGCCGCCACTAGGGGCAGGATGGGGCCAGGATCAGGTCAGGGAGGAGCTGGTCCTATGTATGATCACCAGAAGCTGATCATCTGCTGGTTTCCTATTTTCATGAATATAACCCAAGTCCCACAGCCCATTGGTATGGGACTGTCTCCTCATTGGTGGAGATCAATGCCCCATACCTGTGTGAGGGATAAGGAAGAGAGAGGAGACTCCAGTCTCTTCAAGTTTCTTCAGTCTGAGAGAAATGATTGTTAATAATCAATATCTTGGGGAGATTTCAGAGTTCTTCCCTTCTTCCAAAGTCCTGATTTTAATTTTAGTCTATTTTTTTTCCTTGCAAGGCAAATGGGGTTAAGTGACATACCGAGGGTCATATAGCTAGTAAGTGTCAAGTGTCTGGTCTAAGATCACATTTGAACTCAAGGTCCTCCTGATTCTAGGGCCCATGCTTTATGCACTGTGCCACCTAGCTGCCCCCTAATTTTAGTCTCTTGAAGGATGTTACTGACAAAGAGATAGGATTCACTGTCCTCAATTTTGGTCAAGGAATTTAATCTGAGGTGGGGAAGCCATTGTGTTCTTGTGGAGACAGATTCTTTTGTCTAGAGTCATAGATTCCCAAAGTGGGCAATACTGCCCCCTGGGGGGCCCTGGAATGGTCCGGGGGGTGGTAGTATCCTTGGGTGCAATTGGGGCAGGGCATTGAATAAAAATAAGGGGGTGGTGGAAACATAAAGAAAGAAGACAAGAGAAGAAGATTTTGAAAAACCATTTGTACATGTTTCATCTGTTGTGTGTAATGGAATTAAAGTCACAGTGATTACATTATTTTCCAAATAAATACATAACAGTCAATAAGTTTGAAACTTTGAATCCTCTGGAAATGGCTTCCCTTTGTTTCCAAGCAAAGGCTCTGATTCAACATAATAGATCTTCTAACATGACATTGTACTTGCTCTATCATGGATATAGGTGTGTCCTACTTCAAGAGGAACCAATAAATTACTTTATACTTATATAACCCAGGGTCCAAACCTAGTGCATTTGCATAAGACTTTTCTCATGGAGAGTGGGAAGAATGATTGACAACTCTACCCACATGCAAGCCCACAGCATCAAGTTATCAAGCTTTCTTTTCACCAATGAGGAGAGTTCTACGCAAGACTTGAGCCCTAGGTTACATTTATAAAGCCAAGAAATGAAGATATAAGTACTTATATCAATGATTTTTTTTTGTTACTAAACTATTATATCTCAAAGTTTTTTAAATAGAAGATTCCCTAGTCCACTTGATTTACACAAATCACACTTAAGTGCAGCTTTTCAGCAGCATAACCTTTGTGCAAAGTGAGGTACACTAGCCTTCAAGTTCAATTCATCCTGTAGCACTTGGCCATCTTTGGATGAAGTATTAGAAAGGTCTTCAATGGATATGACATTCTAAGAGGAAGATCCCCTGGTGCTTTCTTCCACAGGTATTCGTCTTACTAATGCCTTCCTTGGAGAAGCTGGTGAAGTAAATAATAGAGTAGCCATTAGCTGCCACTTCTCTGCCACCACTTCCTCATTGCACAGGTGCAATTGAGTCAGTCACAGCTAGCAGCTGAAATGAACACAGGGCTCTGGGAAATTGACACCACAAACTCATCTAGCCTTTACCCAGGCCATTCTAATAAACCACCACTGGTCTTCATCTGTCTTGATTTTAGGATTAATTTTTGACATCTGATTTAAAAAAAAAAGTGAGGACTGACTTCCACCTTATGTTGTAACTGAGGTGGTATAACCATGCTTCTTGAGAGAGTACAGGCACATATAAAATTTAGCTAGCATAATGTACCCACGGTCTTAGATAATTCACTATATTAAGCTAAATAGGATGGAAAATTGATATTCATTGAAAGCAGAGATTCATGCCATGTTCTATTGAGCGAGATCCAGACAAGAAACTAGGCAGAGGTTCCCGAAGTGGGTGAAAACCTCCCCTTGGGGGTGCTGGAACAATTGGGAGTGTGTAGGGGGTGGGGAGCAGTAGCCTAGGTGCAGTGAGGGAGCATTGAATAAAAATAAGGGGGCAGTGGAAGCATAAGGAAAGAAGAGAATTTTCAAAACTGATCATACATGTTTTATCTGTTCTGTAACAGTTAAACTTGTATTGATTACATTATTTTCCAAATAAGCACACAAAATACAATTTATAACCCATCAGTGGTCAAGTCCACCAATACGTCTTAACAAGCAAGTATTGGCAGGTAAGGAGGAACTGTAACACCAAATTACATCAATGAACCAGGAGGCATGAAGAAAGTAAGAAGAACCCCAGAGGGAAAAAACAAAAACAGAAGACCTAACTGGCCTCAGAGTGCCTATGGCAACTCCAAGGTCAATGGTGGCAGAACTAAAAGAAGACAAAGAAAGCAAAGTGGCAGAGTCTGCTGTGGATGACGCAAATTCTGTTCAGGAAAATCTTGGGACAACCCCAAAGGAAACTGAAATCCAAAAGAAGCTGATGAGGACAGCAGAGCAGCAAACTGAGGCAGAGGATCTCCCCAAGCAGCTGATGAAGACACCTAAACTAAAATGTGGCTCCATGGAGCATCTGACAACAGTGGTCAAGAGACCAATGAGAACTCCTAAGGATAAGGTGGAAGCCGAAATATGAATGTTAGGCTGCCTGTTGTTACTTGTTTTTCTTTTCCATATGCACAGGTATCTGATCTCCATGATCTCTGAGGCCTACCAGATCTTCAGATGGCCCTTTCTGCTTAAGAGGCTGCCTTAGGATGACTACTCCAAAGCAAATCCAAAACAGGAGCATAAGCAACTCCCTGCTAATAAAACAAGTACAGAAATGTGGATCAGTAGAAGATCTGACCACCACCAGGAGACTGATGAGAACGCCTAAGGAAAAGGAAGAGCATTGAACAGAAGATGTGAAAAGTGTCAAGAAGTCTGGTAAAACATCAAGGAAACAATGTGATCCAGAATACTCAAGGAGTATTAAGAAGTTTAATGAAATACCCAAAACAGAACTAATAGAAAATACACCAAGCAGATAGTTTCATTCTAGGAATAAAAAGGAAAGATTTCCTAGTCAATCAGATAAGGTATTCCTAACTAGTGAAAAGGAACCTTTTAAGAATTTTCCAGGCGGAGCCAAGATGGCAGAGTGAAAGCAGGACTTGCTTGAGCTCTCCTCCAAACCCCTCCAAATACTCATAAAAAATGGCTCTAAACAAATTCTGAAGCAGCAGAACAAACAAAAAGACAGACTGAAACAAATTTCCAGCCCCAGACAACCTGGATGATTAATCAGAAAGGTGTATCATGTCGGGCTGGAGCGCAGCACAGCACGGCGAGGTTGCACAGGCCGCAGCGCGGGTGTGCAGGCTGCAGCAAACCTGGAGCAGGCCCCAGAGGACTGAATCTTGGGCAGCTGTGGAGGTTTCCAGACTCCTCAATCCACCAATGCCAAAGACAAATTAGAAGGTCAGTGGGAAAACTCTGTTTCTGTTCACGCCTGAGAAAGGAAGGCAGGGTTTCAGCTCCATTCCCCAAGAGCGTGGCCCGGGGGGAGGGGGGGGCAGCTGCTTTGGGAGCTTCCGGCCCACAGACTGAGGGGTAATCCAGTGGCTGATCAGAAAAGTATCAAGAAAGTATCAAGGAAAACGGCCCTGATACATTAGAACCAGAGGGCAAAATAGAAATGGAAAGAATCCACAGATCTCCTCCTGAAAGAGATCCCCAAAGGAAAACTCCTAGGAATATTGTAGCCAAATTCCAGAGTTCCCAGGTCAAGGAGAAAATATTACAAGCTGCCAGAAGGAAACAGTTCAAGTACTGTGGGAACACAATCAGGATAACACAAGATTTAGCAGCTTCTACATTAAAGGACTGCAGGGCATGGAATATAATATTCTGGGGGGCAAAGGAGATAGGATTACAACCAAGAATCACCTACCCAGCAAAACTGAGTATAATCCTTCAGGGGAAAACAATGGTCATTCAGTGAAATAGAGGACTTTCAAGCATTCTTGATGAAAAGACCAGAGCTGAATAGAAAATTTGACTTTCAAATATAGGACTCAAGTGGAACATGAAGAGGTAAACAGGAA